CTCAAACTCACAGAGATTCACCTGCCTCTGCCTCCCCAGTGCTAGGATTAAAGGTGTACGCCACCATGCCTGGCTTCAGTAGTGTGTCTACAGAATTTAAGGAAGATAATTTAAAAGGCAGACTCTATCATCAAAGGAGATCCAAACAAACCAATGAGGGTCTTCAGCAGAGGTGGAGACAGAAAGGGGAGAGTCCTAGTGATTTAGGAACTGAAGGGCATGAAGGAAGAGAGAAACAATACCCCAGGTCCCTAGTGTCAGTAAGCAGGGTGCTGACAGGAAGGTCCACATGACACTGGAGGAAACTGGAAGTGAGGGTATAGCTCAGGTTTGGGTTTGTGGATTCTATAGTGTTGATAAAATTATAGCATCTCCAGAAAGCAAGGGAAGGGTAGAGAAAACTCTTCTTTATAAGAAGAGAGGGAAATAGTAGCTGTCTTTTTAAACAATCATGGCTGACTCTCTTTTTACCCAGCACTAGTTTTATTTTTCCTGATACCTGAAACAGACACATAAAAGCAGAAACAAACATATTTGGAGTCCAGGCTCCACTGTGCACATGAAGGGCTGATAATGCACCACCATCCTCATAATAAGCTGAATGACGGAAAGCCTTGATTAGAGAAGAGACCACTGTCTCCCTAAGATGGGTGCCAGACAGACACTGATGATCAACTGACAGAGAACAAGGACCCAGGGTACCAGGCACCCAGTCACAGGGTACCCTGAGCACTTTCCTGAGCTCTCCTTCCTGGAGCTCCACCAGCACCCTCACGGTGACTTAGATCCACCTGTAACTCCAGTCCCAGAGGCATGATGCCCTCTCCTGGCTTCCACGGGCACCAGATACAAACAAGGCACACAGACACAGATGTAGCCAAAATACTAGCACACAGAGTAAATCTAAAAACAGGTACAAAGTCATTTCCACTTCTGGCCATCCACACGTCATCCATGCCATGGTGGCTGGCATTTGTTAATTCGTACAATTGTTTCAGTTTCTTCAGAAGGACCACCATGAGCATTTAGCCCTACCATTGGGGTACAGGCTATGTTAACATCTATGTTCTATAAAGGTACATGGCTGTCTGTGGTGCTTCATGCCTGCAACCCAGGCAGTGAGAAGGTAGGGGATCACCCAAGTCTATACCAACTGTTAGGCCAGCCAGGGCTGCACAAAAGCCGTAAAGGAGAAAAGTCCTGTGTGTTTCTAAATGCATGGACAGTCCCCAGGGCTGAGTGACTGAAGTGACAGCCGCCGCAGCATGAACAGCATGGGAATTTGTATCATCTCATGGTACTTGTAGCAGAAGAAAAAAGCTGCAGAATTTAAAAAAATTTAAGCATTGCCTATGGGATCTTATGGCCAAACTAGTATTTTTACCAACAAGAATAATAATGTATTAAGTTGGGCAGAGTAAAGACAAATCAAATCAACTTGCAGGATCTCTTAAGAACAGTAACACATTTTTATTTATATTTATGCTATTTGAATGGGTGTTTTGCCTGCATGTATGTAAGTGTACCACATGCCTGCAGTGCCCATGGAGGCCAGAAGAGAATATGGAATCCTCTGGAACTGCAGTTGTGAGCCACCATGTAGGTGACGGGAATTGAACCCGGATCCTAAGCTGAACAATAAAAGAGAATGGAGGTAGTTATGGCCAAGAACAGTCAAGGACAGGCAAAGGCTACTCAATGAATGCATAAGCTGATAATATTAAAAGTAAAAAAAAATACTAAAAGTAACAGGAATGCTAATTTCAGAATAGACCTTTGGCAAAAAAAAAAAAAAAAAAGCACACTGAGGTGGTATAAAGTCATCTTTTCTATCACTACAGACACAGAAATGCTAGATAAAACCCACAAAAATGCTTTTAAAATACATAGAATACATAGACAAGTTAAAAAAAAAATTCCCCAGGCACCTGAAAATGAAAGAGACATCAAAATCAAAGCTAGAATAGTAAGTGGGAGTTGAGACCAGTGGCCCCATGGGGGATTCAAGCTCATGCACGGGCCCTGGACTTGAAGGGCGCTGCAGTAATACAGGCAAGAGATGAGACTTCCAGCAGGCAGAAGACAGGGAGCAAGAACTGAGACCGGCATGAAGCCCAGGGCTCAGGCCCATCCCCCATGCTAAAGCAGTGCTGAGCACCAGGAAGTAGACAGCAGCAGCTACTCATCTAGACCTGATGCAGAGAACCACACACAGGCAGTGCCACACAAGCACAG